TCTCTCTTGGTTCTTATTTTCCCCCCTTGCCCAGCCCTCCCTTCAACCCCTCCATCCCTCCCTATTTACAAAGATTTTGTTTCCATTGTCTCATATTAATTCCATACCCTTCTTTCCTTTCCCCTACCCCTCCCACTTCGCCTTCCCCTCCCACTTCCCCTTCCCCTCCCACTTCCCCTTCCCCTCCCACTTCCCCTTCCCCTCCCACTTCCCCTTCTCCTTTGCCCCAAAACCTTTCTAAATCAGAAAAGCAATCATGGCATGGGGTGCATTGTCTGAGCATAAGCCTGTAAAATCAGGAAATAATGAAGATAACCGAGTAGGAAGCACTTGGATATTAAGAACCATTTCCAGTAACCTGTGGTGAGGCAGAAACAGCACCATGGTTCCAGGGAGATAACTAGTCACAGGAGGCATGGTCAGTGCTGGCCTTGTACACAAATCTAAAGCCAAAGTGCTTTTAGTATTGAAACATTTTTCCAAGAATTCAACTACGCCTTTAACTCAAAAAGTTAAAAGAGGAAAAATAAAATCAGCTTCTGATAAAGATGATAAAGATGTTAATGTATAAAAATGAAAGGCTAGACAACAAGTTGATGAGCAGATCACTCGGTGTTCCCAGAGGGGTGGTTACAACAGCTAACAAAGTAGGCAGACCTGGCAGCAGAGCCAGGCGTGAGGCAGACAGACAGGCCTCCTCGGCGTTCAAAAGAGGGATTTATATATTTTGAGAGAATATGGAGTGCTCAGATTGCATAAGATAAGGGTTTTGAAAAAGTCCCAACAACCTGAATGGACCTAGTATTTAAATTTGGGATAAATTTATTGCCAAAGCCTTTCTTTTGAGGCCAGCAGGCATCTCTGCTGTGAGCTTTTTCATTATTCCACATGCTCTTGCTCCAGAGAGGAGCGGAGAACCTGGTGTCCTGTCTCGGAGCTGGAGTCAGCCTGTCCTGGGCTTGGCTGCCTGTAACTTCTGTCCCTCTCTCCCTCCTTGGTCCACTCCTGCTGCTGTAGCAAAATACCTGAGACTGAGTAATTCATAAATAATAGGAATTTGTTGCTTGCAGTTTTAGAGGCTAGAAGGGAACTGAGATAGCAGAACTGGGTGTGTAGGCCTGCATTTGTCCAAGGCTTCACCCTAAATAGACCAGCAACAAAAGTTGGCCTCCCTGGGCACTCAGCCCTGGCTCACCTCCCACCCATCAGCAGTGGGAGTTTACGTTCTGTTTGTGACGTAGTGCCCCATTACTTCTAAATGGGCCGGAGCCCCAGCATCTGGGCCATGACAATGGTGGGTCACTCCTGTGTGGCCCCTTTAGTGACTTAGAAGACCCTGCTGTCCCCGGCAGTATGGATCTCAGGCCTGTCAGTCCCAACAGGTCTCTGTGTTCTGTCCCACGAAGTGCCAGCCTCCTAGAGCAGAGCCACTGCTGTCATGATTCACACACTGGGGCCCCGCTTGTCACCTTGGGGTGTCCTGTCTACGGGATCACTGAATGGGCCCCAACCCAGTGTGTCTCTGTCCCACCAGCTGGTCTGGCATTGCTGAGTGGCCCCT